CGGTGCGCGCGTGCGAGGGGGCGGGGCCCGGGGGGGGCGGTGGCGGGCGCGCGCGTGCGCGGCGGGGCGGGGCGGCCCCGCGGCGATCCGGGATGTCGGGCCGGCTCCTGGTGACGTAGCGGGAAGGGCCGCGCCAGATTCCCCCTCTCCCACTCCCCTTCCCCCGCCCGCCGCCGCCGCTGCTCCCCCGGCACGGCACGGGATACCCTCCCTTACACACACACACAACGACCTCCTCCGGTTTCCCCGCCATGGGCAGCGCCGCTGCGGCCGGAGCGGGCGGGGCGCCCGGGGCCGCCGCTGGGCATGTGCCAGGCCCGGCCGCCGCGTGAGCACCGACACCACCGGCAGCGTTGTCTGCGCCCGCCCCGGGCCGAGCCGTGAGTGTGCCCCGGCAGGGAGGGAGGGGACGGCAGCGGTGCGGGGAGGGGGTCCCATCTCCCCGGGGGTGGGGGGGAGTGGTTGGCGCGGTCCCGGCGGCCCCGTGCTCACCCCCCGGTGCCCCGGGGCTCTCTCTCCCGGCAGGGCGGCGGGTGCCATGAGCAGCAGCCGCGCGTCCCCCGCCGCCGCCCGCCGCCGCCTGCAGCGCGGGGATCGATAGAGGCGGGGGCTGCGGACCAGCCATGGCCGGCAGCGGCTACACGGACCTGCGGGAGAAGCTCAAGTCCATGATGCCCTACCGGGACGGCCACAAAGGCGGCGGCGGGGGGGGCCTCCCGCGGGAACCCCCCGAGCCCCCCTACGACCGCAAGCGGCGGCACCAGGAGGACTCCGGCTCCGAGCCCAGCGACTACGAGGAGCAGAAGGAGGAGGAGGAAGCCCGGAAAGTGAAGAGCGGCATCCGCCAGCTTCGCCTGTTCAGCGCCGAGGAGTGCGCCAAGATCGAGGCGCGCATCGAGGACGTGGTGTCCCGGGCCGAGAAGGGGCTCTACAAGGAGCACACGGTGGACCGGGCGCCGCTGCGGAACAAGTATTTTTTCGGGGAAGGCTACACCTACGGGTCCCAGCTGCAGCGGAGAGGGCCCGGCCAGGAGCGGCTGTACCCGCGGGGGGAGGTGGACGCCATCCCCGAGTGGGTGCACGACCTGGTGATCAGGAAGCTGGTGGAGCACCGGGTGATCCCCGAGGGCTTTGTGAACAGTGCCGTCATCAACGACTACCAGCCGGGGGGCTGCATTGTCTCCCACGTTGACCCCATCCATATCTTTGAGAGGCCCATCGTGTCCGTCTCCTTCTTCAGCGACTCGGCGCTCTGCTTCGGGTGTAAATTCCAGTTCAAGCCCATCAGGGTCTCGGAGCCCGTTCTCTTCCTGCCCGTGAAGAGGGGAAGCGTCACGGTGCTCAGGTAACTCGCCCGCGTTGCCGGGGCTCGGTTGTGTAACGCGGATCACGAGGCTCATGGATGCGCCCCGACGGCGCCTCGGGCTCCATCTCCCTCGCCTGTAGACACGCACAGGGTTTCACTGTGGTGGAAGGGGTAAGGCAGGGGTTTGGGGGCGGTCCTGCTGCTGTGGTGGGTGAGGATTTGGGAGGGTGCCCTCTCCGTGGGGCTTGAGGTGAGTCCTGGTGGGAGTGTGGCCACTCGCCGAGCTGAGCTTAGCTGTAAATGGTTAAAATAACACGTCGAGACACAAAATGGATCCTGTGCCCAAGAGTGGTCAGACGTGTTATTTTAACTGTTAACTGAGCAGCTGGTTGGGACTGGACTCCTGGGACTATTCTTAGCTCGGCCATTGCCTCCCTGACCTGACCTTAAACGTGGAGAGGAGGTGTGAATGGCCTTGTCTTCCCAATCTGTAAACTGGGAATACTGAACCCTTCCCTGCCTGGTGAGGATGGGGAGACCAAGACCCGAGTGCAGAGCCCTGTGGGATTGTCACTTGGAAGCACAGCAGGTCACAGGCAGGAAAGGACTTTACGTGTGATGAGGAAGAGCTGTGGAGGTGGAATGACCTGCCCAAGGTCATGCAGCTGGTCGGCAGTAAAGCTGGGCTTGGCACTGGGAAACGCCTGCTTCCTAATCCCGCTGCCTTCCTGGCACGGGCTGGGAGGGAGAGCAGGCAGGTGAGGGGACAAGAAGGTAAGAGGACAGGCAGGACTGGAGCGTACGGACCCACCAGTGTCCAGCTCCTGGGGAGGGCGGCTCGAAGCCTGGCACCAGGGCTGCCAGTTCCTTGTATCCCTGAAGGTCAGAGTGCTCCTTGCCAGGAGCAGGGATCACCGGGACAGGACCCTGCCAGCAGTGCTCTGAGCTACCAACTTATCCTCGTTTGAGTGGCTATTTTTTGGGCTGGTGAAGGTCCAGGCCGGTTTTCCGGGCTCCCAGGCTGTAACACAATCCCTTGCTTTGGCTTGTAAAGTGATCGCCGCAGGGTTCGGGAAGGAATTTTCCCCCCCACATACACACGGCCTCCTTGACTGGTGCATCAATAATAAATGCTGAGATCTCGCGTAGCTTTTATCTCGGAAAAGCTGCACAAACATTAACTAATCCTCGCCATACCCCGGCGTTAGGTAACTTCTGTGGATTAGCCAGGGATGAGGGAGGCTGCGGAGGGAATCGGGAACAGGACTGGGGACGTTTTCTCGCTCTCTAGTGGGTTGACCAGGGCAGAGGGGGCAGAGGTCAGGGTGATTTTGTGAAATAGGACCCGAGGGGACTCATCCTGCCCCATGTCCTTTTACTGCAGAGCAAGTTCCATCCACCCTAGGGATGGAGACTGCCGGGTGTAAGGCAGCCACTCCGCTCCCTCACTTCCCCGAGACACAAGGAGGGAAACTTTTTACCCTAATTTTCCTGCTGGTGATGAGAATCTCTCTGCTGTCTTTCCCCATTGGGTCTGGATAAATAGTTATTCTTTCTTTCACACCCAGAGGCATTTTTTTTTATATTTTTTATAACCTAACAGAGGTCATCCTCGAGTCATGCAGTCAAAGCCACTCGGAAAACTCATGGCCTTATGTCTGCAGGAGGATTGGGACTCTGCAGTGGAGGATGGTGGGAGGAAGAAGAGGTGCTTTCTCTGCTCCAGGACCAGAGAATGATGTTTTCTTATCCCAGACCTTGCTCTTTCCTCAGAACTGCTGGGAAGAGGCACTGGCTCAGGGCTCCCAGGATTGACTGTCATGTCTCCCAGGGTCTCTGGGTTGTTGACCAGCATCACCCAGCTGCTGAAACCAGTTTATTAATGTGGCCGAAGCAATTGCACAAACCAAATGAAGTATCTTTTCCCTCCAGTGTCTTTTCCCTGCAAATAGAAGGGCTGCTTTCTCCTTCACCCGCTGCCGCTTCATCACGGTCAGATGTTCTGCTTTCCAACAAATAATAGACTTTAGAATGGATTATTTCAATTTTGGTACAGCAGTTAGCAGATACTTAGCACTCACTTAAGATGAGATTCTGCCAAAGTGATTGTTCTGCGTTGATATGATCCTGGCTGGAATCGAATTCTTTACCTCACAGCAGATCTCCTTGCCTCCCCTCTAGCCCCAACAGTTTAGGAGGAGCAGGAGAGGTGCAGATTGTTGGTAGGCTCTCAGGGGTGTATCACCAAATCCATCCCTTGGTTATGATTAAGTCAACTCCCCAAACTTGGCGTTTTCTGCTGTGGGTAAACAGTTGCTGGAGGCAGTTGCCCTGGAGATGGGGAACGGGTGCAGATAGAAGTGGCATGCCTGTAATGTCTGGGATTCAAATCCTGCTGGGTCAGTGGCTGCTCCTGGCCTGCTGCCTTTTGGGGAAGCCAGGGTAGCCTGTGGAAGTCAGGAGGATCTAAGGGAAGCTGTTGGATCCCTCTCTTTGACCTCACAGCGTTCTCAGGCTGTCCCCAGATCACACCTGTCCTGTTCTTGCTCTCAGCAGCCTGTTCCCAGTTCTCCTCCTGATTTCATAGCCGCCTACCCAGCAGGGATTTTGCATTGAGGCTTTCCCCGTATCCCTCCCTTGACTTTGCCTGCCCTGAAGCAAGATGTGGTGTTTGCCAACACTGAACCTGCTGGAAAGGGTTCAGACCTCAAACTACAGGTGAGGTGGAACAGAATTCACCTGCCCGGGCTGCGCCCCTCTGCCAGAAACCAAAGGCTGAGCCAACCCATGACCTGCTAATGAGCCCTTCCCTCTTCCAGCAAGGCCCTTTTTCCTCTCCTTTCTCATCTGCAGGGAAGATTTGCCTTTGTAGGTTTTGAGATTTAGAAGACAACCTCCTCCAGTCTCCTCTTCTGCAGCCCTGGGAAGCAGGTGCTCCTGCAGGTTTGTCCCACTGCCAGCCAGTCCAAGAGGAAGCATCACCTCAGTGTGTGCTGCTGGATCCCAGTCCTGTGGCCCATCAGCTCTCGGGGGGGGGTGGGGTGGGGCTGGCTGCACCACATTTGTGGGTTTTCTTTTTTTAGCAATAATTTGATAAGCATCAATCGATTGAACCAGTGGGGAGGAGATGGAGGAATTTTCCTGTTCATCTGGGGAGCGTGTGCTTTGACAATGCTTAGGCTGGGAAAAAGGGAGGGAGCTGGGGGATGCAGATCCAGCTGGGATGGGGGGGGTTCCATCCGGATCCCTGCCCTGCAGCTGCTGTCATAGGTAGCAAATCTCAGCACTGAAGCTGCCAGGAATGTTTTCTCAGCGCCGCGGTTGGAAATAGTGCAGCTGCAGTTGGAGGAATGAATGGCACAGGTAACATTTCCCAAGTTCTGGGAGCTGGTGTGCCATGTGGGCTTCCCTCCCGCAGCTGGAGAGTGCTCCAGGTCATCTCCTGGCTGTTTGTGATGGCAGGGAAACACTGTGATGTGTGTCCCTCCTGTTGTCTCCAGGCATGCCTGGTGGCGCATAATCAGAGCTGCTTGGAGTCGCTGGAGGATGAACCTGCTTCCTTCCCAGCTGGAGGAATCTCTCTGCAGCTGCCTGCATTAGATGCTTTTCCAAAAAAGCCTGATCCCTCTGAACAAGCCGTTGGTGCAGAGGAAGTTCTGCGTGTGCCAGTGGTGATGAGGCAGAGATTTGTTCGAGCTCTGCTCAGACTGGTCGGTGTCACATCCATGGTTTGTGGCAGGAGCTTTCCTGAGCCACAAGTAAAGCCTTGAGTTGCCCAAACCCTGCAGTGGGCCAGGTCCCTGTGCCTCTGAGCTGGCCTGGCTGTTGTCGGGACGTGTTGTCATAGAAATGTTTCTCGTTAGAGACTCTGCAGAATTTCAGGGCCTCCTTTCTGGTGATGTCTGCACAGAAAAATTCCACTTTCATCTCCGTGTGAATCAGTTCTGTAGTGGCTCTTCTGGATTGAGAAGGAGACTCAGGGAGGAGGTGGCTGTGTAAGGTCTGAAAGTTTGGAGTTGGGGTGGGTTGAGGGGGGCGTGTGGATTACATCAGCACCTCCCTGTGTTCTTCTGAAAAACACTCTGGGATAGAGATATCCTATTCAGGTGTTCTCCTGGGCAGGAATTTAGGGTTTTCCTTAGCAAATTGCTTTGGGTTTGTTCTCTGGGCAAGAAATCTGAGGGTAAACCCATTATGGGTTTTTTTCCCCAGTGTCTGCCCCTTCACCCGTCATTGGGGTGTGCAAGGCTGGGCAGTGGGTGAGAAGTTTGTGCTGGCACAAGGCAGCATAAGTATGACACAACCAAATAATCTTTTTCTTCCATTTTTCTGCCTGTGCAGAGAGACACCGTCACTATATGGGATATGGTGCAAGCAGAGTTTTCCTCACACCAGTAAGGCACTGGGGCAGACTGGTGCCCTTTAAGACCTCAGACTGGAGTACTGGGGCTATTGCTTTGGTGCTGCCCATGTGCATCTGGGGCCACAAACTCTTTCTGGGGCCACTCTGGGACTGATCTGGGAAGGGGATTCCTGCCTGGGGAGTGAGAAGGAGTGTCCAGGCTGACATCTCGTGATGGAGAGCACGTGTCTGGAAACAGACCTTTTCCTGATGTTCAGGGTGGTGCCGAGGATGCGCTGAGTTGAATGTTAACGTGGGTGATATTCATGAATTCTCTGGAGCCTGACGCAGAGATTCCTGGAACATAAAAGAGCATCACCGTAAGCCCCTTGGCATAACACTGTCGTGTTCTGCAGTGTCTGGAGGGGAGGGGGGCATGGACATCACCCCTGTTTTAACTGATCAGGACTTAACGCTTTTTAACTCTCCTCCTAAAGCAGTAGATCTGTCTTTGAGGAGAGGTGCGTGTTTCTGGGTGAGTGGGTGGGTTATCTAACCAGATCAAGGAAACCCGGTCCCGTCCCCGGAGAAGACTTGCGTGTGTGAGATGTGTTCTGTGCTCTGAGTGTCCTGAATAACCTGCCAGCCCCTGACCCTGGCCGTGCTTCTGAGGGCTGCCTGGCAGCCGGTGTGCCAGGAAAAGCCTCGTGGGGACCGCGGGCCTGGTGATTTCTGATTCAAGTTAAACAGCGCGGGTGTGTGCCAGCGTTGTGTGGCTTCAGCAGCCTTTGCCCAAATCCCTTTCAAGGTGCTCCTGCCCTTGTCAGGTGTTCCAGGAAGCTCTGTTTAGCTTCTCTCTTTCCCGTGCCGGAGTCTAGAAGGCTCTGTGTGAGCTGACACTCTCCAAACGGCAGGTAGAGGGCAGGCCCCACTCTCGGACCTTCTGGCTGGATCCATGGGAGTGACGGGATGTGCTCCTGCAGGGTGGTTTGTGTGTCCGAGCAGGGGGGGTGGCTGCTCTCCATGGACCCACTGTGATTTCACCTGCTCGACAACAGAAGCAGCCACGAGAAAAATGCTCCAGTGTTTTGTAGGAAGCTGAGGTCGTCCTTGGCCTTGGCTTTTCTCCAGCCTGCTGGAAACATGGAATATCTGAAGTCACCTCACACAGTGAAACACTCCTGCCCAGAGCGGCTACTGCTTGAGCCTGGGGTCGTTTTCCTCAGCCCAGGGAGCTGTTTCTCCCTGTAACAGGGAGGTTTTGGGAGTGCAGCTTGGTTTGCGGGTCTGAGTTTGAAGGTTATAACCCAAGTGCTTTGGGTTGGGGTTGGTGATGTTCGTATCATGGCTGAGGATGTGCCACGTGATGGGGAGCGGGGAGGATGAGGGTGCTGAGAGAATCTGTGCCCAGGTGAGGGGGGTGAGAGGCTCAACTCTTGCCATCACTGCACCCCTCCATGACTAACAAATCTCACTGACTCTGGTTCGTGTTCATGTCTGGGTGTGCTGCACATCTCAGCCGTGAGAGATGGCTTTTCTCAGGGATGTGCGTGAGGAGGTTCTTTGGAGGAACGTGCTGATTTTTCCCCTGTTGCTTTCTAATTTCTTTGTAAATGAATTGTCTGAATTTACAACCCATACACGCGTTTCCACATGTCTTATTTCACAGCGCTGTAGCAGGTGGCAGTTTCCTCTGGTGTATGCTAAAAAATTGAGTCCTAAAGCTCCCCCCTCAAAAAAAAACCCAAACCCTGGCTGTCCATGTTCTTTCCTGATGTTTGTTCCTTCCTACAAGTCTAGCTCCCGTGTGTCTGGGGAACGGTGTTTGGAGGAAGAATTCCTGGTGGAAGTTTGGAAATACTGGCCAAAATGAGTTGTCGAGGCTGGAAACCACTTTCTGCCTCTGCCTGGCATCTCTCTCACAGTGGCTTTTTGTTTCTGTTGTCAGTGGGTATGCGGCCGACGAAATCACACACTGTATTCGACCACAGGACATCAAGGAGAGAAGAGCTGTCATCATCCTGAGGAAGTAAGTGTGGAAGCCCTCCGGACAGTAAGATAAACGTGGATGTGGTGTTGTGATGTTTAAACACTTAAAAACTGCCTTGCTTGTTAATTTGCTGGCTTGATCTTACACCTTGATTAGATGTCACTCTGACACTCTTGCCGTACCCGGCAGTGGAAGTAGCTGGAACCAGTTCCTGCAGAGTTAATCACTTCTTGGCTCTGTGAGCAGCACTTCATTGAAAGGGCTGGGGTTGCAAGCCCTGTTGGTGTCCAAACACCTGTCTTTCCTTGGCTGCCCAGCTCCAAACAGCTCAGATTTCAAACTGTCTTGTTTTAGGTTGTGTATTCAGGTGTCTGGTCATATGATACCTCTCTGTGTGAGTTACCTGGACAGTCCTTTGAAGCTGATGCTTGTGATGAAGAATCTCCTATAAAAGCAGATGAAGTTTACTTGGTAGCATGGCCTTTGTTTCCTGGGGAGAGGGAGGAAGACACTGACTTGGGAGGGAAACAAAGTGAATTCAGTGCTCACTTTACAGGGCTTGTCCTTCGAGTCTGTGTTGGGAAGCCAAGCTCTGTAAGCTGTTTTAGAAACATGCTTCTTGTTCTAGTATCTACACTGTCTTGATGGCATTTCATCAAGCATTGCTTGTTCCTAAAACTCTTAAGAAAAGGGAGAAAAAATAGGCCAACCCCACCCCAAACTCCTTAAAATATTACCTTTTTTTGTGCCCAGAAATGTCCTCTCTTATTAGTTCCTCCTACTAGGAGACCAAAAAATGTGACTGGCACACGTTGACCCATGGTGACCGTGACTTAGAAGGTGTTAGCAGTAATTCTGCTGTCAAGAAATCTTTTTGTAAGTGAAAACACAACGATTTTGAGTCCTGTAAACCCAACCAAAAGCGTGGGCATTGGTGGCAGGGCTTGTGGTTCTGGCCCAGGCTGGCACAAGGCTATCAGGCAAGTGGTGTGGATTCAGACTGGATGAGCTTTTGGATGGCTTAGTTGGTTTCAAAACAAGCCTGGCAACATTGTGAAGATGTGGCACAAAGCCAGTGGAGTGGATTGGACATCTGGTTAGAGAGACCCATGAAATGAAGGCAGAAAAACCAGCAGCCCCGAGGCATTAGCCAGGCAAAATCGGCCCAGACCCAGGGAGGCAGGATGACATGTGGCAGGAGATAGAGTGGGATGAAAGACAGGATGTAGCCAAACCACCCCACAGCTGGTTATGGCCACATGAGGTTTGGGGTAAGGGGGTTGTGATAAGAACTTAAAGCTGTTGTGTTCATGGTGTTGGTGCAACCAATGAAAAGTGCTGACGAGGAGGCATCTCCAAGTCGTGTAGCTGCTTTGGTTGGGATTTAGGATAGAGAAGCTGCCTATTCTTGGCTGTGGAGCAGTTCCCTGGGAAAGACAGATTCGGATAAATAAGCTAAAGCTGCCCAATATCTGTTGCAGATATTGAAAATACCTGTTCAAACTGGCTCTGCCTCTTGCTTTCTCCAGCCTCTGTAAGCTGAGAATGTTGGGTTATTTCAGTCTAACCTGGCTGCCATCAAAGTGCAACTGAGCAAAAAAGGGACCTTGAAGCTCATCTATTCCAACCCCCTGCCATGGGCAGGGACACCTTCCACTAGACCAGGTTGCTCCAAGCCCTGTCCAACCTGGCCTTGGACACTTTCAAACATGGGAAGTCCTCAACCTCCCTGTGCCAGTGCCTCACTACCCTCTGAGTAAAGGATTTCTTTCTAATATCTAATCTAAATCTATCCATGTAAAAAGTAGCTCTGCCTTTTCTTTATAAGCTCCTTTAAATCCTGGAAGGAGCAGTGGTGTAGCCAGCTGACCTGGTGCATCACTGCTGAGTAGACAAAGCCTGCAGCTCCTACCAGAGCCATACCAGCTGTGTTTGTTCAGACATCCCTCTCCAGCAGTGTGTCCTTCTGCCTTCCCCTCATTTTTGGGGTCTGATTTGCTTAACATTAGAGCAGAAGTGTCTCTGCCCAGTCACACAGCCGTGGGCTGACCTGACTGACAGGCCAGACACAACCAACACGGAGGTTTTTCTCTTGAGCAAAGCGGAAACCCCCCTGGTGATTCTTTCCGTGTAACCTCTGCAGAGCTTAGCAGCCCCTGTGAATCCATGGCAATTCCCTGTTTGCCACAGGCCGTGCTCCAGCTGCTGCCAAATAGAGCTTATTAATTCCTGTTTATCCCTGGTGAGGGCGGCCATCTCCCGGTGTTCCGTGCGTGTCCGTGCGCGCACGGCAGGGCCGCGGTGACCCCTGTCTGTGCTGTGTCCCCACGCCCTGGATCACTGCACAAATGCCACTCCCGATTCCCGGATCACAGGACTTTTCTCTGAAACAGTGTGTTATGCAATCGGGAAAGCAGCTACTTCCGCTGGTGGCCTGCTGGCACGGCAGGGTTGGGAGCAGCCCGCGGCCTCGTAAAACTCCTCTTCCTCGTTTTCGTGGTGAGGATCAGCCCTGAGCTTCCCAGAGGGATCAGATCAGCTGGGTCACCCCAGTTGGAACTGGGATGTTCAGCTCTGAATGTGAGAGCCTGCTGGGTCCCAGACACGTTTGCATTTGGCTCTGCTCTTGCCTCTGCTCCGAGCGTGTTTTCGCTGACAGCGGCAGGAGAACAAAGCTGTGGGAGCTGGAGGAGCAGCAGGATTTTGCAGGATGCTCCAGAGCAGCGTGGTTACCAAGTAGGTCATAAACACCTCAGTGCTGTAGTGTGATGATATTGAGTGTTTTCCTGCGTGTCAGAGCACAGGGCTGTGGGAGCCAGCGAGGTTTGGAAGCGCTTTGAGCGAGAGTGGAGGAACCTGCTCTCAATTTCATGAGGTGCTGGAAGAGGTAATGTGGGAGGGGGGGATAGAAATGAGACCTATTGAAGTGGGTCTTGAAAGTAATTTTAGAGGGTTTCTGCTACCATTCTGCTTCATAAATAGGAGTTACTCTATTTAACTTGAACCTGCTCCTGCCTTGCTCTGTGGCCAGAGGGAGCATGGCTGGTGTTCCCTTGCCCTTCCAGTGTATTTGAGGGTTGGTTTGTTTGAATTGCAGCCCTGCAGTTGCTGTTGTATTTGAGAGATATTTAAACCACCTTGTCTGGGGCAGGATCAGCAATGCCTATGGTGTTCTGGCTGGACTGGGTCCAGTCCTGGAGCTGAGAACAGCTCAGGACAACAGCGTGAACTATCACAGGCTCCAGCCTGGCAGCTGCCTGTGGAAGTGTTCCTTGTTTCTGGCATGCTGGGCAAACTCAGGCTGCCATGCCCAGCGTCACCTGTGCCAGCCTGGCATCTCCCTGCTTAACTGAAGAGGCTCTCCTCAGTGGCAGAGTGTACCTTGGCAGCTGGATGTGCTTCTTAATGGGAGTTTAGGTTGGGATTCTCCTGTGGAAACCTCCCTCAGGAGCTAAAGTTCAGCACTGGAGAACAAGTAGTGATTTTCCCCTTTCTTTTATCCAGACCCCTTCTGTAGTCCCTCCTTATCCTAAGGAGGGAGACAGACTGCAACAACAGCATCAGGATGCCTTTCCTTCTGGGAAGTAGCTTGGATCCTCCTGAAATCGGCAGCTCTGGAGCACCAGCACCTTTTACTATATTTTGCCCATTCTTAGGCTTCAGTCTGTGTTTTGAAATAGACTTTAGCAGAGTTTATAACTTGAGCCTGGTGACTGTGCTGTGATTGGAGATGGTCACAGCACTGGGATAAGATGCTGCTTCGTTGAGTTTTCATTCCTGCTGCCTCCCTCCACACGTGTGTGGCTGCAGTCGTAGCTGGGCCAGCAACAGTTCTCCTCTGGGATGAGCTGTGTTTGCTCTCTGGTGTATCTTGAGTGTGTGCTGTGCTGCTGGAAAGGATGTGGTGCAGCTCCTGTTTGCTACACCCGCTCCTGACTCGTACTTCAACTCTTTGCACCTCTTAGTCAAGCTGAGGAACACCTGACCCTGTGAGATCTGTGGGCAGGAGGGAGTTTCCAGGTGGAAGCAGTTATTACTGTTGGAGGTGGTGATGAATTTTGCAGGACATCTCCCACCCAGGTGGATTAACTGGAGCTGTGAGTTATTGACTAGTCACTGTGATTTCACAGCTGCTCCTGCACCTCTGCTCTGTATCCCACTGGGATTGCAGTGAGCCCAGCACCTCTTGCATTCACCTCATGGCTACGTGTCCCTGTGCTTCCTCTTTCCTCTGGCAGGACAAGGGGGAATGGCTTCAAATTTGAAGAGAGCAGGTTTAGATTGGCTCTTAGTAGAAAACTCTTCCCTGTGTGGGTGGTGAGGTCCTGACACAGGTTTCCCAGAGAAGCTGTGGCTGCCCCATCCCTGAAGTGTCCAAGGCCGGGTCGGGTGGAACTTGGGGCAACCTGGGATAGTGGAAGGTGTCCCTGCCCATGGCACAGGGCTGGAACGGAGTGAGCTTTGAGGTCCCTTCCAACCCAAACCATTCCATGATTCTATGAAGCTTGAAGTACCAAAAAGCTGCAGCTTGTTCTGCTCTGGAGTGTGGTATCCTGCCCCTCCTCCTGAGCTGTGTGGCTGGGATGGAGGGCTCTCCTGCAGCACATCCTGGGCAGATATTTGCTGCAGCACACTGGTGGTTCTGTAGAAACTCCTTGCAAATTCTCTTCTCTTTAAATATTTGCAGAACAAGACTAGATGCACCTCGATTGGAAACAAAATCCCTGAGTAGCTCTGTGTTGCCACCAGGTTATAACTCTGACCGTCTATCGGGAAGCAACCGGGACCAGATCCTGAAACCAAAGCGGTCCCATCGCAAAGCAGATCCTGATGCTGCTCACAGGTAGGGTGATCTCTCCTAAGGGCAATGTTTGGGATGGGGTCTCTGGGTCAGTGCATGGTTGAGGTCCTTGGCTGCACAACACACTTAAAAACATCCTCGCTGCACCTCGCTGGCAGGTGCTTTCTGTGGTGCCAAGATCTGTTTTATCAGAATGAGCTCTTTATATGTTGCTCCCAGACTTGTGGAGGCTGAGCTCTGGCTGTAAGCAGCTTACATTGTTTATCCTGTGAGTGGCATAATGAAGAAGCAATAGATTTGGCTGGCTTTTGATAATGCAGTCGTTCAGAACAATAGTTTCCCTGCAGCTAATCATTTTTGACCTCTATTGCCAAGCAACCTGTGCAGCTGCATCAAACTATATTATGAAAGCAGTCCTGGGAGAGAACATGAGGGTTTGCTATCTGGGAAGGGTGAAGGCCTTTTGGGAAGCTTCTCAGACCTGTTGTGATTCCAGAGCTGCGTGGGTATATTGTTGTGTGAGAAACCAGACTGTGTGGATGCTTAAGCCTGACCTTCAGGGAAGCTCCTTGCCAAGGTCTCAGACAGCTTGAGCTCTGCAGCAAGGCTTCCCTTAAACACCTTGGTGTGAGCACACCGATAGCCCTGAGTGATAGCCAGTCTGCCAGCTGGCCTGGATAGTCCAATTCCAAAGCTTCCTGGGGATCGAGGTGGCATTCTCTGCCCACTGGATACAGCCCAAAAGTCGCCTTGGTCGCGGGACTTGGCTGCTGTGCGGTCCCAGCCCTGTTTCAACCTGTCCTGGAGGGAGGAGGGTGGGGATGGCTTGTTTGTGAGCTGTGTTCGTTCACCTGGATGCAGGCTGGGAAGATGGATGAAGAATTGAAGCTGGCCTGCAAATGCAGCTTCCCTCCGAGCACGCAGTGTCCGATTAGGGAAGCGATCATGCAGGACAAATGTGCGGATCTGTCAGAGCTGTTTTTCAGCCTGATGTGACCTTATCAGGGTGTGGGGGATGGCTTGCATAGGCTCCTGCAGCAGATGGGTGTGAAAAACATGTTTTTCTTTTCCTGTGGCCTCAAAGACTCCAATATAACAGGTAATTAGCACACATATCATAGTGGTATCTCTCAGAGGAACCACTCAGATAAAATAAGGGGGTCTGTGCAGCCCACCAGCCCAGTCCTGCTATGAAGTGATCAGAGGCAGTTCTGCAAAAATAACAATTGCACTGTGCTAATGTTTTGAGAGGACAAAAGGTTTTGGAGCTGTGCTGTGATCCTACACCATGAGGAGCTCAGCTCTGTGCTGTGAGTTCTGATGCAGGAGACAGACCCCACTGCCCAAGGGATGTTTCTTGGGGTCGCAAGCTGCACTTAAAAAAACCCAGAGGTGACTGGGCTTGTTTGGAAGCGTTCCTGGTGGAGATTAAAGACCAAAGCTTGCCCTGGGAAGGGGAAGGACTTGCACCATCAAAGCAAATTCTCAGCTCCCCGTGGGAAGTGCAGCTTGGTGATCTGTTCCTGCTCTGCTGAGTGCCCGGTGCTGGGAAGGCGCTGTGGAAGCAGGCAGGGCTGTCACTCCGAGTGTGCAGCACTGCAGACAGTGTCCACAGGAGGAATGCCTGCATCCCACCCTGGCTGTGCTCTCACTCCTGCTTTCTCTCTCTCCGTAGGCCACGGATCCTAGAAATGGATAAAGAGGAGAACAGGCGCTCGGTCCTCTTACCAAAACATAGGAGACGGAGCAACTTCAGCTCCGAGAACTATTGGCGACGGTCGTACGAGTACACGGAGGACTGTGAGGAGGAGGAGGAGGACGGCAGCCCGGCCAGGAAAGTTAAAATGAGGCGGCACTGAGGATTGCTCTTTCCAGGCTCGTGGAGCTGATGAGATTGGCCTCCAGTCTGTGAAAACTTTCTCCTCCCTCTGGCTATCTTCCATCTAGCTTCAGTTTTGGTTTTTCCTTTCAGGCTGAAGAGTAAACAGGAAGGATTTGAGTTTTATGAATGGAGGAATGCTGAGACATACGTAAGGATGGAACATGTCCAGTGCACATGCTGTCCTGAGTCATGGGTCGAGCGGGCATCTCTCCCTTAGGAAGCAGATAAAGTTATGCCAGGCTGTCTGTTGGGATTTCTTTTGAAAACACCAAAAAGTTTAACTGTTTCATTGCGCAAGATTCAAGAATTGTATTTTTGTTTTGTTTGGGTTTTTTTCGCTTTAACACTCTTCCTTTCCAAATGTTCTAAATATGATGTTTGACCCCAGGAGCTGAAATTCCATGGTGGCATCATATTCCTTGTTTTACCAAAGGGCTCCTTGGTCTGCTCTTTCCTGGTGGTTGTTGGGTCTGTTTTAAGGGTGCCCTGCAGTAACTGGAAGTTTGAAGCTTTGCAGACCCCTCTTACTGCGATTGATTTCAAAGGGTTTAGGACATTTTCGTTGCACTTTAGTGTTTTAAATGCAGTAGGTTTCCTTTCCAGACCCTTTTCCCAAGCCAGCGTGGGCTCGCAGCCTTGTGTCGCTGCGCTGCCCTCTCCGAGAAGAATGTACTAGAGCTCTGGTTTCTCAGTGCTGGTCTGACAGGGGAGTGTTGTTGTGTTGTGACTGGGGAGGAAGGAATCATGGCTGGCTTCCCTGAGGATGGCCCAGCATTGTCCTGAGATCCATATTGGAACCTTGGGGCTGCCGAGTGAGGGATCACACTGAGTATGTGCTGCTTCCCAGAGCTGGGGATAGCGAGGAGGAGTAGGAGAGACGCTGTGCTTGTGAGGGCATGTGCCTTGGGACCCCGGGGAGGAGCTGTTCTCCACTGCCCCTTTCAGGCGGAGAGAGTTGAGAGGCACAGCATCCCAGCACAGTGTCCCATCCTGAGGGACTGGCCGTGCTCTGCCAGAGCAGGAACAGGCGCTGCCGTGGCCTTGGCCATGGTCTGTCCCCTCCAAGGCTGGGAGTGGGGACACTGCAGGGGTCTGGTTTGGCCCCAGTTCAGTGCATCGAGCACTGAAGTTGCCTGCCTTCTCCTGGCTTATTCCTGCCTGTATTCCCATGGTAGGGAGCTTTCTGGTTGCTACAGGAAATGCTGAGACGAATCAGGCATTCGGCCCCGTAGAGTTGTGTTAGAACATCTGCCTTCATCCTCCTCCCACCCGGTTTGTGTTAGCCCAGACCAAAGCCTTGGCGTTTGCAAAGTTTTGGGGCCCAGCACCATATTTAGAACCCTACTTTTAAGGAAAACTTCCTCCAGTTGATTCTTTGAACCCAAGTGTTGGCAGTTGTAAGGAGTAGTCTTATTTTTAAATTTTTACTGCTTTTCCCTCCTTCCAATTGTAGTTTTTCTTAGTGTTGTGTCCCCCACACACTTCGTGGTCTGCACGCTTGGCAATAAAAAGATGTAATATATTTTGAAACCCGTTTGCTGCTGTCTTGAGGGGCTCCTGGTCTAAAATAGCCACCCAGGCATTTATTCCCTGCAGAATACTTGCTGACATCTGGATCCCACTGTCCTTTTCCTTCCCTGCTGATTATTTCTGCAGCTCCTGGCGCTTGCCTGTTGTTGGGGTTCTGCTCAGGCTGGATCTTGTGGTCACAGTAGCACAGAGGATGTTGCCATCACCTTCAGCACAGTGCTGGTCTGTGGGGGTCTGTACCTGAGGTACCCCGTGCCTGTCTCTTGATTATTTTATCCGATTGCTTTCCTGGTGAGAGCCCCCGCTGGCTCCCTGCCGAGGTACAGGCAGAGCCTTTGAAGGAACCCATCTTATCTGCCCAGAGATCTGAAAGCTCATGCTTCTGCCACTTCTGAAACCTTTAAAATGCCATTTTCAGACCACACGTAGCATTTGAAGCGATGTTTCTCACCCTCCCAGCTTCCTGCTGCGAATCCAGGCCAGCTCTTGGCTGCAAACCCCCTGTTTTGGAAAGCTTGGCATTCCCCTGATAACAAAACCGCATGTGGGGAGCAGCAATTCCTTCTCCTCCTTATGGCTTTGTCTTTCTGGATTCATCCTGGCTGTGCCCACCACAGCACCGGGCTCTGCCATGGGTGTGACAGTGACAGTGGTCACTGCTGGAGGTCTTGGCTCTCCCCTCTCCCTTCCTGGCTCCCAGTTTTATGCCTACCTCTGCAATATGGATACTCTACCTTGGTGTCAGCTCAAAACGAAGCTGGAGGTAGCCTGCCTTTCTGAGGGCAGCTTCCCAGAGCAGGATTCCTGTGGGATGAGGTGCTGGCTGTATCTCTGCCAAAGGCTGAACCAGGCATCCTGAGGTCTTACCTCTTGCCTGGTATCGGGCATCACCTCATCCTGGTCCTTGTGCAGTCCGTATGTGTGCAAGTATCCTTTCCCAGCTTGTTTTGGAATTCCTGCATGCCATGGTTGGGAGCTCTTCCCTTCTCCCTCCCTGCCTCGCATCCGTGCAGTGGGTCAGAGCTGGCAGCCGTGGCTGGGGGGGCAGGAGGAGCTCCAGCCACCATCTCTTCTCATAGCTCGGTTTTCAACCTGACTGGTTGGGGGTTGACACCTTGGAGAGAGAGGGAGTGGGGTGCAAGCGGTGGGACCCGGAGCGTCCCTTGGGAGAGGAGTCCCCAGCGTGCAGGCAGGGCCATCTTCCCACTTGTACAGACATTTTCTATAGACACGGATGTATATGTGTAGATAACATGGTTTTTTAACTCTTTTGCACTGAACAACATCGGAGTGAAACCTGGATTCGAAACCAGAAGACGCATTTTTCACGTGGGTCCAGAGGTCTGGGGATCCCTTCCTGTAACCTGTCTGGTGAAACTGTGGCTCGGAATTCCTGGTGATCCCACACCTTTTCTCTGTTGGGCTGCCCGCAGGCGTTGGGTCAGGCTGGTGCCATGGGGCTGGTGTGGGAGTGTGGAGGGCGGAGAGCTCTGTTTTGGAGGCAAAACTTTTTCCCATGTGCTCCGTGGGATGGGCTCATGCACAGCCCTGACCCCCTCGGCTTTGTCCTGTGTCTGATCCAGTTGTGTGGTCTGACCTCCTCTCCATCCACCCACAACGTGTCCTTGCTCAGCCCCAAACTGGGAATAAGGCTGTATCCAGTGTGACAATCCATGCTCCCAGACCCACAGCCCAGACCAGGAGAACTGTCTTTCCTAAGGAATGGGGAGGAAGGTGGGGTTCATCTCTAGTTCAGTGGGATTCATCCCTGCTTTTCTGTGAAGAACAGGAGGAATTGGGGTTTGTTGCTGTTGCCTGTATCTCCAGAAGAGTCACTGGTGGAATTATCGAAGTCCAAGGGTCAAAACAGCTGCCAGGCTTTGAGGAGGGCTCAGAGGAGCTGGGGTTGGACCCCCACCAGCAGCAAAGAGTCTTTTACCTGCCAAAAATGTTCCCTTTCCCCACTGGGAGGAGAAACATTTGGCCAAGAAGCGCCTGTGCTCCTTCCCCTGCCCACACTTAACAAGTTCTGGCTGACTTTAATTTTGTTTTTTAAAAGATTCTAATTTTTTTTTTTTTGGTTACCAATAAAAATAAAAATTAAAAAAAAAAAAGATAAATAAAAAAGAAAGTGGCAATATTTTTTTCCGTAAGCTTTTCCTAGGAAAAAGCGTGGTTTGTAACAAAGTTGTACAGTTCTGAAGTTTGAGATACGAGAAGTACTGTGTGAAACGCTGTAAATGGGGCAGAGATTATTTTATGTACAGTCTGACGTGGGGGAATCTTTTAATTCTGGTTGATTCTTAGGAAGAATTTGGTTCTTCACTGTCAGGGTTTGGAATTTCATGGTTTCATTATTATTTTTTTTTCTTGTATAGATTGCTGCATTAATTGAATAAAAGCAGAAAGCATCGCTCTGCCTGCCTGTGTGGTGATGCCGTGGGCTGGGATGTGCCTTGATTTCCCCAGGCAGAAAAGAGGTGGTTGGGAATGGGGAACTGGTTCTAAATAAAGGGAGTCACCGGCTCCCTGAGGATGGGGCAGCCAAATGTGGTGGCTGTGCCTCCTAAGCTGTCCTAGAAAGCAGGGACAGGGCTCTCTGCCCTCTTCCTCCTTCTCCTGCAGCTCCCACCCTGCCCACAGCTGGAGCCTGGATCCAGATGGGCCCAGCACCCTCTGCTTCGGCCTCATGTGGAGCCCCTCACCCTCCTCGTGCCTTCCTCCTGCTCGAGGGAGATGGTGAGATGCGGGTGAGGTGCCAGAGAGGGGATGGAAGGGGGCTGCTGGCCTCGTGTGCCTCCATTCTCTCTCCTTCCTCCTCTCCTGTTTGTCTTCTCTTCCTTCTCTCCTGTTCCTCCTCTCTTCTCTCCTCTTTTCCTCCTCTCCCTCCTCTCCTCTTGCTTTCACTCTCCTCTTCCTCTCTTCTCTTTCTCTCCTCTTCCCCCTCTTCCTCCCACCTTCTCTCCCTCTCCCCTCTGTTCCCCTCCTCCTCCTCTCCCTCCTCCCCAGCCATGACCCACATCTGGCTCCCTCCTCTCCACCCTCACTGCCCGGGGCTGTGCCTGTGGCTCAGACCCTCCATCTCTCCGTGAGCCCGTCGCTCCCCGCTTCCCCCCCACGCTGTTCTCCGCCCCCAAAACCCCGCGTCGCCCCAGAGCCGCATCTCCCCGGGCCGGGGTTAGTCAGCAGGGAGGGGAAGCCGTGCCCTGCCCGGGGTGAGTCACCCCAAAACCGGGCGCGGGGCAGGTCGCTCCCCCTCCCACCTCGGGACGGTGCCGTGGGGGGAGTGGGGAACAACATTCCCGGTGCCACGGTGGGAATAATGAGTCGCCAGCCAGGAATGAGGCTCGAACATTAATTTTGGGAGCCGGCGGGATGCTCCAGGCCCTGTGGCCGGGGCGCCGCCATGTTGATGCACCCCATGGCTGTGGGGCACACGGTGAGAACCTAAACCCGC